CTCTTGGTCCTTCAGTCCGGAGTCCGACCGGACCTCTTGCACCCCCATCTTGCTCCCTTCCGTTTGTAACCTCACAACAAACTTCGAGTACCTGGGCTTGGGAATAAAGTCACCGACCGACTCAAACTGGACGTAGGGCACGTTGCCTGAACCAGTATAAACACTGTGTCATTGAGTGCTAGGCCATATCCGATCACAACGTACGGCAAAACTACAAATATTTACGTGTTGGTCACTTTCTGCACCGACAGTGTGTGAGAGAGTTAGAGAGAGAAGGGAGAGGGAGCGTTTGAGAGACGAGACAGGAGTAGTGTCAATTGAGAACAAGAGGAGGGAGTGGGTACAAATCCTAGCATGTCATATGTCAATATATATTTTGGGCTTGGGATTTTCCACAAATGGACTATTTAATTGGTCCACTTCTAAAAATCTATTTTTAAAGACGGATATATACGGTGAACAGCTTCTTTAACCTCCTGTCTCCTAAAATCATTTATAGAGATGGTCCAATAAAAGTCTCTCATTTGAAAATAAAAACACATGTCTTCTAAAATGGTTTATGAAGCAGTGACAACACATATTTAAACTTGAATTATAATTATATTATTTTATGTTCCCATTACAACATACAGGTATAATCCTAGTTTTGAGAAAAAAAATATAGAAAACCATGGTGTGGTGGAGCATCACCAGCATGGAAAAGCGTTATCTACGTTAGGCTCGTGCCATGCGATGATGATTTAGGGTGCATTTGGTAGAGATCTAGATTTTTCTCAAAACATTTACATTCATATTCTATATAGAAAAGTTTATGTACCGAATCATAATCACTTTGTGGAACTGTTTGGCTAGGTCGTTGCTAGATTCTTCAAACTAGATCTAGAATTAGGAGAAACTATAGGTGTGTTTGGTAGGAATCTAGATTCTCTTAGAAACATTTCATGTCTAAATTCTTCAAAAAAAATGTTTCATGTGATGAATCAGAATCACTTTGTGAGATCATTTGGCTAATAGGCTTGATTCAATCCACATTAAGATATATATATATATATATATATATTTGTTAAAAATCATATAAATAAAAACATGCTTAAAAAAATTTAAACTTTTTATGGGCGAAGAATAACTTAAACACAACTCATTTTTATTTGCTACACTAAAAGGATTATAATTAGAAAAAAAATAAAATTTGGCAGCCCATGTGTGGCAAAGAAATCGAAACGATTCAGTGCGAAATCCCCATTTCCTGGTTTCTAACTTCGCTAAAGAATCGTTCCGGATCTAGGCGGCACAACACCATTTGGAGGCATTTCTAGTGATTCACATGAGAAATGAATCTGATTCTCGTGTCTAAATGAGGTTCATGTTTTGAGTGTTTATCCGGACTAGTACACAAACAAAGAATCCATTCCAAGTAGTTCTCCTTAAAACATTTCTCTCATTATTCTGGCATTTAGCAAAGATTCTAATAATTTTTGTGAGAATTTGAAACGTTTCTCGCTATCAAACACAACCTTGTCTGGCCCCGTCGCTGCTAACCAGAGGTGTCCATCATGCTAACTTATAGAGATTGTATTGACCATTGATTGCACCGAGGGCTTGCATATACATGCAGTGTCCTATACCATGTATCCACAATCAACGGAGGATCAGCCGTATGATCTCAAAACAACTACCCACGGCGAAAGCGCCCTCTTGATGAAATGACCACAAGGAGCCCGTCCATTCCATAAACAACTCGGTGTGATTTTGTACACCAAGTTCATGGACAGATAACAGATTCATATTGATTCGGATGCTTCAACCAAGATTACAAATAATACCTGGTCGAAAAGCTTGGGTAGGCTATTTTCATGAAAAAACAAACAGTGCCACATTATAAGGCATGCATAATAGCATATGTGACGAAAATGGTATCATGCACGATTTGGCCGTGCAATGAAACGGTCATATAAAACAGAGTAGCTCATAGGTCCTATAAGGTTGGTGGGTACTCCCTTAGTTCCAAATTATAAGTTGTTTTAAATTTTTTGGTATATTCATTTTGCTACGTATCTAGATATAATATACATCTAGATACATAGCAAAATGTATGAACCAAAAAAGCCAAAGCGACTTATAATTTGAAATAGATAGAATAGTGGTTAGGTGTTGACTTGTTCCATTAATGTTACTATCTTGACGCACGTCTTTGATAAGTGGATAGGGATAACTTGAAAGCTAAGGAAGTGCTACACATGGTGTGTCCGTTAGAAAGATTCTTTTGAGGCCTTGTTTGGTAGAGCTATGACGAGGTTTTATTTGTCACATATATACATACAATAAAATTTTATTAAGATAATAAAAAAATGCACTGAAGATAAATCTTTGTTCTCAAAAATCTTAGAAGGGAGATATGATCCGTCTCTATCTCTCAGATTAGCCTTAAGCGGCGGCAATGCACGTATCATGTGAGTAGGCCGCCCTACCAGCTATACACTGGCGACAAGTTGGATCCGTCCAACCGGAACCAAAGATCAACCCCTGGTGCCACACATGGTATGGCGCTGGCCCACATCCACCACATAAACCCCTTGAGCCTTTGTCGTTGCGCTCTTGCGTTCGAGTTCACACTAAGCATCGTCATCGCCCATCAGTTCGTTCATCATCAGTGCCCCTCCCTCCGACAGAAAACCCTCTCCTCTCCCCTCCCCCGCCCCTCCTCTCCTCTTTCCCTCTCGTCTCCCCAGCCCACTGCGATCAATCGAGACCCAACGCCATGGCGAGCGATGACGAGGAGATGTGCGACTACTTCTACGACGACGACGTCGAGGAGGATGCCGTCGCCGGCTTGGAGGAGGATTCTCAGCCGCCGGACGATGCAGACTACTGGGTGAGTGATCCGATCCGAACTCTGGGGCGCCCTGGCTCATCGTGGAGATGATAATTGTGTGTTTGCCGGGTTGGGATTTGCGCACCGATGAGATCTGGGAGGACCTCACCGATCGATTGGGCACTGATAGGTGATCGCTTGATCTGTAATAATGACCCTATGGATGCCTCTTGCTCCATGGGTGTCAGGTCATTGCGAGTGGGGCATCAAGGATGTGTGTTGGCGGGGGGATCCATGCAAGAGGAAGGACGAGAGAAGGGGATAGGCAATCACGTTAGAGAAGGCATAGGCATGAGCAGATTTGATTAGATTAAATGTGAGGGAGAGACGTCAAAGAGCTCGGTGTCACAAAGGCGAAGGGAAACAATAGGGATAACTAGGGACCGACGAAAGGCGAGAGGATGGAGGAAAACAAGAAAAGAACGGTTGAGCACTGATAGGTGGGTCTCATGTGTCAAGTGGATATTAAATAATAATGGTGTTTTTAGCAATCAATTGTAGCTTGCCCTTCTAAATGACAAAAAATGTTTCTTAGGCTCCTTTGAAATAACTTATAGTCGATGTCGTAATGAACACATTTGTTTCTATATATTTCACATCAAAACTTCAATTATATGCTAATAATCGTTTATATTTTGTGAAGACTCATATAATAACGACAGCTAGCTACAGATAAAACGTGGCAAACATCGCACTCAAGGTATTATATTTTGATAATAGTTCAATACACGTTCAAACTTGAATTGTCTATTATCATGGTATTATGGAGCGTCACTAGCATGGAAAACCGTCGTCTTTGTTGGACTCATGCTATGCGACGATGGGTTAGCTCCCTGCCCCATCCCTGTTAACCAAGCAAAGGTGTGCAATCATGCTAACTTACAGATATTGACCATTAATGCTTTTGTTATTATTACCTGCCGTGGGTGCTTCTATTCCACCAAAAACTTGCATATACGTGCAATGTACTGTACCATCTATCCACCACCAGCGGAGGATCAGCCGTGTGATCTCAAAACAATCAACCATATTACGAAAAATGCCCTTTTGAATGACCACAACGAGCCCGTCCATAAACAACTCGGTGTGATCTTGTACACCAAGTTCGTGGACAGAGTCATATTGATTCGGATGCTTCAACCAAGATTACAGATAAATTTGGTCATGAAAAAAAACAAAGTGTCACGTTATAAAGGCATATATAATAGCATAAGTGACGAAAATTGTATCATGCACGGTTTGGCCGTGCAATGAAACCGTCATATAAAAATAGAGTAACTAATACTCAGTAGTTCCTATATAAGGTTGGTTGGTAGTAGGTAGGTGTTGGCTCGTTCCATTCATACTACTATCTTGACGCACGTCTTTGATAAAGTGGGTAGAGATAATTTGAAAGCTTAAGGAAACGTTGCACATGATGTGTCGGTTAGAAAGATTCTTTTGAGACAGAGCTACACCATATTTTATTTTTGTCACATACATACATACAATTTTTTTTATATATATAAGAATAAAAAAGACGTTGTAAAGATAATTCTTTTGGTCTGTTCGTTGGTTGGTTTCTGAGCTGATAAGCCCAGCACCAAATGCTGATTTATTGTGAGAAAAAAATCCTATTAACTGGCCGATAAGCCATGACTAGAACCAACTAGCGAACCGTTCATCGTCAAAAACCTTGGAAGGGAGATGTGATCCGAACCGTTCATCGTCAAAAACCTTGGAAGGGAGATGTGATCCGTCTCTCTCTCGGATTAGCCCTACGCAGCGGCGAGCGCACGTATCATGCGAGTATAGGCCGCCCTGCCAGCTATACACCGGCGACGAGTTTTTTATCTTTTTTTTTTTGTTGACAACAGCCGGCGACGAGTTGGACCCGTCCAACCGGAACCAAAGACCAACCGTGGTGGCACGGCACGTGGCATAGCGCTGGCCCACATCCACCGCAAAAACCCCTTGGGCGTTGCCGTTGCGCACTTGCGTTCGAGTTCACGCTAAGCATCGTCATCGCCCATCAGTTTGTTCATCATCCGTGCCCCTCGCTCCCTCGGAAAACCCTCTCCTCTCCCCTCCCCTGCCCGGCTGCCCTCTCGTCTCCCCACCCCGCCGCGATCAACCGAGACCCACCGCCATGGCGAGCGACGACGAGGAGGTGTGCGACTACTTCTACGACGACGACGACGCCGAGGAGGACGCCGCCGCCGGCCTGGAGGAGGACTCTTCGCCGCCGCCGCCGCCGGACGGCGCGGACTACTGGGTGAGTGGTCCGACCCGAACCCCGGGGCGCCCCGGCTCGTCGCGGGGATGATGATTGTGTGTTTCCCGGGTTGGGATTTCCGCGCCGGCGAGATCTGGGAGGACCTCGCCGATCGATTGGAGAGCCGCCCTGCGTACCCCAACTCACCAAATCTTTAAGTCCAATCGTCGCAAGAAAGAAAAATAAGGGGGCGTCACACTCTGTTATGCCCATCCTGCGCGCTTTAAGTTGTGCTATATACGCTAATTCTTGGAGGCCTGGCTCAAACCGGTGCCGGATGTCTGCAAGAACTCACCGGATCGACTTGGGGGGCTTGGGTTGTTATAGGTTATTTCCGTGGGATGTATCCGTGTCGTTTTGGAATTTGAGGGCAGTGAAACAAACAAATTTCTTCCTACTTCTTAGTTGTAAGATAAGAATTGCTAGATTCGATCAGGGTACCTGTCTTTCACTATAAAGTGTAAAGTGTAGTGTTTAATTTTGCCCAAAGTAGTGCCCATTGCTCAACAAAATCTCACCTCTGCCAAAGAATTACGAGATGCATGTTATTCACCTCTCTCTCTCTCTCTCTCTTAAAAACCTCAAAGTTCGATTTACTAAACTGGAAAAACAAACCACAAGCTTTTGTTTACCCTTTTGTAGATTTATTACCACTAATATAACCAATCAAGCATTCACTGTAACTTGATAACCTCTGAACAAGGCATGTTATAGCAAGCAGTCATTCATCTGTTGTACTGACATTAGTTCACTTCTCATCAGCTGATGGCCAGATGTTTGATCTATGGTGTAAACAGCTGTTTTTTTTTTGTCTTGTTTTGTGCAATCATATATACGTACCATTTGGCATTGTTTGAGGTGCAGATCAGTGGATTGACCCAAAACAGAGAATTTGTTTCCCTAAGAAGATTCTTTATTTGTTTTAATTAACTAGATTCATCCATGCTGTTTTCATACTGAACTATTTTCGAAAGAAACATGTTACATGGATAATTGTTGTTGGTCATTGCAGGCTATCACACAAGAGACCATTTCCGCTGCACAGGTAATGAACAGATTTAACCATTTCTTAAGCGTTCATGTTCATTGTTCAGAACTTCAGATTATGCCTGTCCTACCCTAATTTTTATCAACTACAATTTTCTACTAACGTACCTACAGAAACAAGACCTGTCTACGGTGATGAATTTGCTCAACATAAAACAATATCAAGCACGAGCCCTCCTCATCCACCACCGGTGGAGGATCGATGGCATCTACGATTCCCTAGACAAGGGGCGAGAATGCATGCTCAGAAATGCAGGAATCGTGCTGCAGGAGAATAATAGCATGGCGGCAGCTGGTTCAACGACACCATGGAGAACCGTGACCTGCAAAGTGTGCTTCGAGGACTTCTCCTTGGGTGCTGTTTCGACTATGGACTGTGGGCATTGCTTCTGCAATGACTGTGAGTTTCCACATTCCACCTCAGTGTGTTTACCTTTTCATCTGTATAGAGCCTTAATCAATATGAGCTTATATTTATTTATTTTTGGTATGTGAGTTTCTCTATGAAGTTTCATCTACCAAATATGTAGTACAATTCCTTGAGCTTTCAAATAAATGAATAAATGATGAAAAGAGATTTCCTATATTGATGGAAAGACGTTTGTAAGTTTGCTTACCATAGTTTGACCACTACTATTTTTTTCCCCAGGTTGGACGGGACATTTCCACGCAGCAGTAGAGAGTGGAAAAAAGCAAATTCGGTGCATGGAGGTCAAGTGCTCGGCTTTCTGTGATGAGAACCTAGTGCGGTTTCTCCTTGGCCAAAAGTATCCAGACATGGCCAAGCGGTTCAATCGCTTCCTGCTTGAGTCCTACATTGAGGACAACGCCTCTGTGAAGTGGTGCCCCAGCACCCCAAACTGTGGCCATGCCATCCGCGTGGGCACCGGCGAGCGCTACTGCGAGGTGGAATGCCCCTGCGGCTTAAGCTTCTGCTTTAACTGCATGGCGCATGCGCATTCGCCCTGCCCGTGCCCCATGTGGGAGAAATGGAATGCCAAGCGCTCCGAGGGAGAGAACATCAAGTGGATCCTCGCCAACACCAAGAGCTGCCCCAAATGCTTCAAGGCCATTGAGAAGAACGGCGGCTGCAACCTTGTCCGCTGCAAGTGCGGCCAGTGTATGTGGTATGTTGTTGGCAATCTTACACTTGCAGGCATTTTTGGGCGGTCGGGCGGGCGGGCATGTCTATAAACTCTTTCGTTGAAAACATGTGAAACTCAGCAACCCGCATGCCATGGGTGCATGCTGGGGGAGATTATTGGCATGTCTCAAATTGGATCGCTGACCCTTTTTTTCATGGCGCAGTTGGCTCTGCGGCGGAGGTACCGGCATGGATCACACGTGGACCAGCATTGCCGGCCACAGCTGCAACCGCTACAAGGAGGAGAGCCGTGGAAAGACGGTGGACACCAGCAGGGAGCAGATGCAGCGGTATAAGCACTACCACGACCGGTTCAAGATCCACGGCGACTCGTACAGCGTGGAGAAGCAGAAGCTGGGGGCGACCATCGAGGAGCGGGTGCGGCTGCTGGAGTCGGACCAGGAGCGCCCGCTCGCCATCCGGGACGGCGACTGGCTGACCCGGGCGCACCGGCGGCTGCTGGTGTCGCGGCAGGTGCTGTCGCGGTCGTACGTGTTCGCGTACTACATGTTCGGCGGCGGGAGCGAGCTGCGGACGGCGACGGCGAAGCGCGCTGGCGCGAGCCTGCTGGGCGTGGCGCGGAACCTGTTCGAGGACCAGCAGGAGCAGCTGGAGCAGCACGTGGAGCACCTGTCCAGGTCGCTGGCCGAGGGCGACGCCGTGGCGGGGACTCCCGAGGCGGATATCGTGCGGCAGAAGCAGACGGCCGTCACGCTCGCCAAGACCGTGGAGCGGCTGTGCGGGGAGATGTACAAGTGCATCCAGGACGAGCTGCTGACGCTGCTCGCGGAGCCCATGAGCATCGCGGCCTACAGGCCGGACGGCCCCGACCGAGCCAAGGAGCTCGCGCCCTGATCGTCCTTTTTTACTTGCGGCCACATTTTGGCTGCGCCGGCCGGCCCAGTGTGGCAGCAGATGCATATACAGTGTGCCGTGAAATGATTTTAGGCTGTTAACATAGAAGAAGGATCGAGTGCACTGAAGTCTGAAGTAAAAAAAAAGGGTTCTGACCTGGGCACAGTTAAAGCTGATTCATCTGTCTGGTAGAGCATGTTTTCAGATTTTTATTCGCTGCATCGCTGGAGAAATAGGATCGGTCTGACCTGACCTGGTGATGTGAACCTGAGGAATGGAGTCGAAGGAGGACCATTTGTATTTCTTCCCTGGAGCAGAGGGCCTCAACACCCCCATGGCGTTTCGCATTGGCAACGCTTGGAGTGACGACGCGGCATGTCTCAAGGCTCCATTCATGGCAATCTCCAGTCCAAAGTCGACTCTGGGCACGGTGCCTCCCTCCCCACCTTTCCCCACCCTGTCTCTTCTCTCTGCCCATGGCAGATCCAGCTCACTGGCTTGTCCTTGAGCTCGACGATGGCATCTTCCACGACGCTCACATGGTCGAGGTTAGAGGCGGCATGTGCATGGTCATGGTCATGGACCAACGACTAACTCGGTGTAGTGGTGGTGTGCCTCGTCGAGATCTCCATCGCGAAGCTGGGCGCCGATCGGGCTTGGGTGGCTAGCACACGGGCAAAGCTGAGCTTTCGGTTCGCTCCCCAGGCCTTCAACCCTGTTTGACTCCTTTCTCTTGCTTGATGGCCGAGCTCAATGCCCGAGCTCCAGCTTTGCTTGCGTTCTTCACTGGCGCTCGCCGGATGTATCACTCATCCCGAAAATAAGGCAAGGAGTCTGCTGTTTGTTTGTTATAATCATTACGGGAATGAATCGCATATGTTGGTTTAGAATTGCTCGGGAATTCATCGATAACTATTGACTGTTGTGTTAGTGAAGCTGACCCTGACATCGTTTCTGGCTGGTTGCCCTAGTAAAAAAAAACTTCTTATATGTAACTACCAAATCTTAATTACTGCGTTTACTGGCACAGTCTGTCTGAGCTAAGCAACCTTGCTTGACACATGCACCCATTCTAGGTGTCTGATTTTGGACATCTAGAGCTAAGATTGAATGTCTAAAAATAAACCTGTTTGGAGACTCTTAGCAGCCTGTTCGTTTCGGCTGAAACGATCGTGGATTATTACTGCTGGCTGTTTTTGTGTGAGAGAAAAATATTGTTCTGACTTATAATCCACGATCGTTTACGACCAAAAGCGAACAGGCTCTTAGAGTCCACTTGCAACTCATCCATGGCTTTTATTGGCTTGGAGCCATCCGTCTAGGTAATGTTGTTTTTGCTCTTTGGACAAACGTCTCATGTATATCGTAGTGGAATGCACGTAATGAACTAAGGATGTATACGCAGCCAAAAAAATTAATCCTATATATCTATATAGATGGAGGCCAGTAGCAAACATTAATTAATTACTATAAAGCTGGATTCTCAGTAAGCCACGTCATCTTAAAATGCTAACCATCGGATCGCCATATATCAGGCCTATCTACCCATCCATTGTCCCCGATCATCTGTTTACATCTCTTCCTATGTGGACCCAACTGTTCCCAAATCAACGTGCGGCACCCCTCAGTTTCAAATCACACATTGGTCAGATGATTCGGCGTTTTTTTTTTGTTGGTGGTGAGTTTGTTTCGTTGGATGCTCCCTCATTAGGCACTCTATAATTAATTATAAACAAACGTGGCAACGCGTGAGGATTTTACCTAGTGTATTATGCATCTATGTGCCCTTAAGGCCGGCTAGGTACGCCTCGGGATATGCTGAGACATGGGTTCCATGAGTTGTGGCGTGACTAGACAACTAAATTTGATCTAGATAATAATCTAGACTTTACTACGACAAGCAAATTAAACAACAGTCTCTTGCATTGTGAGATTCAGGTTGAATTACTCTAGTTTACCTTGCTTGAGTAGCCCATAACAAAAAGTAACACTGTCTCCAACAGCCTCACCCAAACCTAAATATGCCTAGTCCATGTTGGTTCCGGTGAAAAAAGCAAGGTCCAACGGAGTAGGCAAACCGAAGACCCAATATGCGTCGGTGTCGAGTGGGAACCCAAATAAGCGTCCGTCTCTCTCCTCGACCCATATCTCTGTCATGCCCGCACAACCGTTTCGTGGGAGGGGAAAGAAGAGGAAAGCGCATCCGGCAAGTCGCCGTCGGCGAGATCTGCACCGAGCTAGGCTTCGCAGGTATGGATCCCTCTGCCCCACCGCCGCGTCCTCCCGCTCGCCGCGGAGCCCTGGCCAGTCCGCCCTGCGACGGTGCGTCCCCGCCCCAGCGGCGCAGCCGCTGCCGCTCGCCCGCTCCACGCTTCGGCTGCCGTCGGCCGGCCAGCTCCTAGGCGGACAGGAGCTGGTTTTGTTTTTGTCCCTGCATTTCCTCCCCCCATCTGCTGTCGCTCGTTCAGATTTGGCTCAATCCGCTGCTGATCCATCTGTGTAAAGTTCTTCGTGTCATCTGATTCTCATGACCGAGATGGATTGAATCGTGAGCTGTGTGGTAGTACAGTTGGAAATCACAAATATGTGAGTATATATAATAGCCCAGGACTGTAGTGGCAGTATGTGTTCACCCATGACTTATTACTGGGCAGATGGTAGTGGTAGATTTGGCACAGGAAAAAATATTGTATGCTATCCAATTCACCGTGCCCGAACGAATGAACAAATGATGCACTGCTTTAAATACAAAACGACCCTTGTTTAGTAATATATGAAGTAATAGTAAGCAAGACAAAAAAATTTTGTGACTGCATTCACGATGGAAGGCTTATTTGCATCAACCTACTTTGAGAATGAGTAGAGCTGCAAATCGACGATATTCCACTTGATCAGCAGTAAGGCACCCCCAAAGTCGCTTGATCAATTAGACTGGCATATGCATACGACCTGGCAATGGAAATAGAATAATGGTGCTCATCTTATGATTTCACCATGAACTTAGCAATTGTGTGTACTGCATTTCAGTTTTATTTCGTTGTCCACCTTTTTTTGGGTGTTCTCAGTTACATTTTAGTGAAACATAAACTCTAGACTAGACTTCTCGTATTAGGCCTTCATTTTATCATAGCACAACTCTATTTTGTGGTGGATTATTAGCTGACATATGAGACAATTGGGATTTAAATAGGGCAAGCTAGTACTGTGTTACTCTATGAGCCATCTTAAACTAAACAATATTAAATACAATAGAAGACTTGTCTTGTTGACTACTTCCCCGTGGCATATATGTTGCTGGTGGTTTTAGATAGGGGCCAAATTTCCTATGGATAGAAGAACCAAATGCATCGTCTGTGCTGATATATTCTTTTGCTTCTTATTGTGCATCACCATTATTGAATCTCTTTGAACTAGGACGATGGATAACATTTTTAGTGGCACAAGTGGTCGCGTTGGCGAATCTGGAGAACTGGGGCAGATCAGTGGGGTTTTGGTTATTCTGCTGCTTTGCAATCTTTGGATGTTCCTCCAAACCCTCAGGTTTATTGCAGCCATGCATGATGGTTTGTTCTATTTACATATCAATACATCAATGATTAACAGTTCTTTTCATCACTAGTTCAACATGCATGGCTGCTCCTAGATGTCCTGCCCACCTATGAATGGGCAACTTAGTCAGGGGTTCTCCATTGACAACACCCATGGCTCTCAGGACCCTCCATCATTGAAATCACAGAGGGCTGCAAAGAAGAAAAACGTGTCTAGGAGAGGAACTGCATTCACCAAAGAGGAGGACTTGGTGGTGTGTTCAACATTTCTGAATATTAGCAAAGACCCTATTATTGGTAATAGTTTGCAACGTCTTTTAAGAAATCTTTGACCCTTTGATGCCCAAATAATATGGTGGCATAACATGTTGGTGTGAATCAGACTTCAGGCGGTTATTACAAGAGGATGCATGATTATTTCAATGAGCATAAGCCTGAAGGGTCCAATCGTAGCCAGATTGCGATTCAGCATAAGTGGGCATTGATTCAGAAAGCGATGAACAAGTTCTGTGGGCACAAAGAAGCATTGATAGGCTGAATGAGAGCGGAAAAAATGAGCAAGATCGGGTATACTTCCATTTATGTTGTCCTCCATCTCTCTAATTTTCATATGTTTATTTTTTGAATCGGTTTAGTCTATACTCATATGTGCAGATTGATGATGTTGTACAAATGTACGAGAGGACAAAACCTTTTACCATCATGCATTGCTGGAAAAAACTTCGCAATGAGGCCAAATGGAACAATAAGTTTCTTGAGCTAAACAGTTGTACATCACCGGATGGAATGTCATCTCCTCCAACTCAAGGCCATACTGTGGCTGACCATGCAGAATCTGGAAATGAGAATATAGACACATCACGTCCTGAGGGTAGGGATAGTGCGAAGAAGCGTAGATCAAAGAGTTTCACAGAGACATCGTCATCTAGTACGGCTGTTGAAGTCCTCCAACGGTTGCAGGAGAAATCAGAGAAGACCAAACAGAAGCAAGACCAGCAAATGACTGAAATTCTTAGTAGGAAGGATGAAAAAATTAAAATTCAAAGGGATCTTTTCAACCTTCAGAAGAAGCATATGAAGGTGAGTGTGCAGCAGAAAAAAAGAAAAATGCGATTAGAGAGGAGTCAGAGGCTCACCTGATATCAGCTGAGTCTAGTATTATGTCGGTTGACACTGAGAAGGTCCCCCTTTATCTGGAAAACTATTATCTTGGCATGCAACGGCAAATCATAGGCAGAGGATTCATCAGCCCCTCGAACAATAAAGACTAAGGAGCGTGTGTTAAACTTCAGTTGAACCCCTCGAACAATAAAGACTAAGGAGCGTGTGTTAAACTTCAGTTGAACTAGAGTTGAATAAATGTATTGTGTGTAATTTTTCTATTATCTGTTGAACTGATGTATTATCTATAGTGTTGTGAATTATTGTGTATAGGTAATCTGATTTTGCCTGTCTATAGGGTTGTACTGATATATCCCTGAAGTACCAAATAGGCAGACGCTCTGAGATTGTAATATGAATTACAGAGTCTACATTACCTGACTGATGGCAGGTAGGGCTACTCGTTTCCTATGTTGGAAAAGCCATGTCAGTTACCTACCTTTTATTTTGAAAATACTTCTAGATTGAAGGTGTATGCCACTGAAATAATTACAGAACTCCAACATAATTCCACTACAGATATCATATATTTCTTATCAACAAGCAACAAAATATCTACATGTGTCGGCTGCCAACAAAATACAAAGACCTTATCAGTAGGCTGCCTATAGCTAAACCTATAGCTACATATAGAGATGGCAACAAAAAAACTAAACCTACAGGTAAATACTTTAGTTCCTGTTATTAGGACCAGAGTATTGGCCGTAAAGCATCCACATGTGTTCCATCAGGTCGTTTTGAAGCTGAGCTACTGTCTCTCTATCCTGAATGATGTTTTGAGCATCAACAAGTTTCTCAATTCCTAGGATTTCTCTATCCTGGTTAATTGGTGGGTCAGCCACTCCAGGCCATTCTGATGGGTGGATATTAGGTAGCTGAACCCCGCGCTCATCTTCAACTACCATGTTGTGAAGTATGACACAAGTACGTATAATGGAATTAAGTACTTTTTGATTCCATAAACGAGCTGGCCTATGCAAGAATTTTCACTTAGCCTGTAGGACACCAAAAGCTCTCTCCACGTCCTTTCGACATGACTCCTGTTGCTCTGAAAAAACCTTTTGCTTGTTGCTAACTGGCAAAGGAATGCTTTTCACTAGTGTAGCCCAATCGGGTTAGATGCCATCTACTAGGTAGTATCCAAGGGAATATATGTTGTCGTTGACATGGAACTCAACAGAGGGTGCCCTCCCGTTAGCCAAATCATCAAAAACATTGGAACGATGCAAAACATTAATGTCATTGTGAAACCCTGGTAAACCAAAGTAAGCATGCCAAATCCGAAGATCCTCAGTCACCACCGCCTCAAGTATTAGAGTTGGCTTGCCTTTGTGTCCTCTGTACATGCCTTGCCAACCAGTCGGACAGTTAGACCATTCCCAGTGCATGCAATCGATGCTGCCTATCATTCTCGGGAAACCTCTAGCCAAATTGATGCTTAATATGTGCTCTATCTCCTCACTTCTAGGAGGACGAAAAAATTCTTTGCCGAACACCTCGATCACAATCATAACAAATTTCTTCAGGGTCTCTAGGACAGTACTCTCTCCCATTTTCAAATGATCATTCAACTCATCAGCCGGGCCTCCATATGCTAGCATCTTTACAGCCACCGTGCACTTGTGAAGAGCAGAGAATCCTAACTGCCCAGCAGTATTTCTCCTCTGTTTGAAGAAGGTATTCTTGGCAGTGACCTCATCCACTATCCGAAGGAACAATTCCCGTCTCATGCGGAACCTATAGCACAAAATCAGAATTGTTTATCAAATTAATTCAATGTGTCGTGCAAATGGAAACTAGGCCAAAGATTGTACCTCCTTCTAAAATGTTCCTCATTATAAAGTGGACATTCAACAAAGTAGTCCTGATTTAGTTGCCGGTCTGCTGCAATTCGATCACGCTTGTAAGTCTTGTGGCCTGGCACCAAACTTCCCCAAGGGCGCTTTTGTGGCGTCTAGGTGAGGACGGCCACCGCAGCCATGATCTCATCGTCCCTGGAGTATGCTGCGGCTGTCCCGAACATTGAAATTTTGACATAATTCCAAGCCATGGCAACGCAACTGCAGTCCAGGTCTAAAGCCAAGCTGATTTAGGGACAAATTGGCCACAAATTAAGAGCTCGTTCGTTTTACTCTCCATCCAAATGGATTGGAGGAGTTTGAGAGGAATTTGATACCCTAGAATAGCTATAGAAGTGCAACGTCAATCTGAGATAGCTGTAGCACACAAACACGACATTGGTCAGTGTCTAGTGCAAAATAATCTGTGCACCCCCAAAATAGGTAAACGAAACAACCAGGCAAACATGGTCAGGTAAATCCAGTAGCAACCTGATGCGGCAGCAGAGGTTGCAATGTTGCTGGCAATGCTGTGTCCAAACTCCAAAATCAATAGCTCCTGGAGTTTTCAAGCACTAGGATGTTGTCAGAGTTGCTACTTTGTGATTGCGTAATCAAATGTGGCAATTTTACTTGATTCTCCCTGGGCTTGCAAAAATGAAGATACATGATCATCAAGACCAAACACAAACAGAGAGAGATGCATATTTGATCAAACAACTAGAGTTGTCTGTACACTATGTGGTGTTGCAGATTTTACCTAGGCCAAACTCATGAATACAAGTAGATTGTAACATTACCATGGATAAGATTCAGGGAGGCAAACAGGGCTAAAAAAGCAGAACAAGATGCATACTTTTGGGTTGACAAAAAATTAATTTCCACCTCCCGACTTTGCCTGAACCTTGCTGGGATGCAGTGGTGAATAAATTAGAACCTGACAATTCACAAGGATAAGCTGACCAGTTTTGTGAAGAAAAAACTGAAACATTCCCATGGGCTTAGATGCATAAATTACAAGAACAAAAAAGGGATAAATGTTAGGCCAAAAAATAGCCTCTGCTTCAATCAGAGTATCAGACCCACAGCCACATCTTGTCTGCTACTGTGAGGCAGAGTTATCAATCCATGATTCCATCTGGTTAGATTCGATATATTAGGTGATGGATTTCTAGTGTCTTGTTTCGAACATGCAGGTCTGAATTGCAGTGTTTAGTCTCAGTCTAGACTTCACTACTCCAGTGGTTTAACCATTTAGTTGTATGCTATTTTAATCCTTTAGATAGATAGATGTTGATCCTCCATAGGCTGCAAAATTCTACATGAGTAACATGCCCAGGTAATTACAAGAACCAACGGGAACGAAAAGGCAAAAAAAAGAATCAATCAAGTCAGAGACGAGGGGCCGACCTATGGGTGAAGAACTCGACGACCACGAACGACTCCTGTGAGGCATGGAGGAAGGCGGTGAAGTTGAACGCGTCGAGGTCCACGACCGCGTCCCCGTCCGTCCGAGGCAGGGCGAGGAGGCGGCGGCGAGGGTGAGGGCGCAGGGACGCCGCTCCGCCTCTGCCGCGCCGCTTCCGCAGGGATTCCGCCGGCTACCTTGCTGCCACTTTGACTCCCTTCTCACACGCAGCCGGGGCGGCAAGATAATCCCGCCATGGAGCCAAGCCCGCAATGCACGATACCCTCCCTTCGTTTCCCGCGAAAATTTCATGGACCGCGCGAACGAAACCGTCCGTGTTCCGACCTTTCCTTCTGCGTTTGTTGTTGGAGAAGGAAGCTTTTGGGGCATATCATGAATAGGTCTCCTATTTTGAGTCGTATTGCTGGAGATAGTCTACACACACCTATAATAAGTACAGTAATTATGTCGCTGGCGCTGCAGTCAGTTGCGAACCGGTCCAACTAGAAACAACAAGACCTAAAATCCATCATAAAAAAAAGACCTAAAATCGTGGGCAAAGAATACCCGAGTCAAACACTTTGGAGCCCCTAACTCACCCCGTGCGGCCCTGCCCAACGGACTCTATCCCTCGCCCGCCGCGCCGCCAGCGACCGAGCTGCCGCACCGCCCGCCGCGCGCCGCCCATGAACAATGCTGACGACTTCTACGGCTACAGTGACGAAGACGAGGAGTTGGTGATGGGGGACGACGACGACGACGACGACGACGACGAGGGGTGGCAGGACCAGGAGGAGGACGACATCCCGCCGCGGCGGTCCCCGGAGATTTGGGTGAGTAACGGCGACTGTCCCGGCAGTTGTGCTTCCGATTCTCATCAAATGCCTTAAATCTTGACTGAATCCACCACCCATAAAAACTTAGATTTGGTCGAATCTGACGGCCTTTGATCGTTTCCATGTTAGTACAATTACAAATCCTCCCGTCAAAGGTCGATCACGCGTTGTAATGCAAAAGGTAAAAAAAAGTTTATCACGCGCTAGTAAATGGATATAACTTATAAGCCGTTGATTTCACAAATTCTTGTCCGATTGGCTTCGCTTGTGATGAGTGGTCTAATCCCAATTTGGTGTTTTAATAGAAGCCAATGTTTCTTTCCTGAAACAAACCGAGTAAAACCAACTTGGAAAAAAACTTGGTTCGGTGTGATCCTTATGTATATACACCTCTGAAAGTGAAAGCAATAAGATACATTCGAGGTTTCGTAATATCTTTCATAATAAATCATGTAAGCTAAACACTGCATTTTTAAGTGAAGCATACATAATAAGACCTTGGCCGAAACACACTGGCTCCTTGAAAAGTTTGGATCGGAAGTCATCATTGGTACTAAACATAAGCTTGTTTGGATCCATTAGCACAATAGCTAATAGCTGCTAATTTTTGGCTAGCTATTTTTTAGCAGCAGGCTGTTTGGATTCACCTGCTAATAGGTGGTTGGACAGTGAGTTGAAGACGTATATGAACTATTAGCACCTATTATCAACTCCAAACCTGCTAATAAAACTAATAGTTAGCATCCTTTAGCTAATAATCAGCAGGTTCATTATTAGCAAGTCTATTTGATCCACTAGTACTAATTTTAGCTGCTAATGTTTAGTGCCAATAAATCCAAACAGGCCCTAAGAAGAACCATATTAATAATAAACTATGGCAGTAACTTCGTACTTGTATTTGTTTCTGATGTTTTGCATTGAGAATTCAATAAATTATTAACTATGTGCAATTTAATCACTGATTATTGAGTGCAAATTCCACCTATATTGCTACTCCCTCCTCCGTCCACCTATATTTACAATGATTTGACTTATGACAAATTCAGAATCCCATCCCTTGTGTATTTGTGGACAATAGCTCAAGTCACATCTTTCACCACTAGAACTTTAACCTTCTGTGTATTTGGCACCTCATTGGGGGCACATACAGCTTTAGTTTCCACATGCTTTGGATTTAGACTTCTACTAGTCTGGTGTTAGAAATGTATTTGAGAAATTGCTTGACATATTGTGACTAGACAATATGTTAAGGAAAAAAGAGAGAATTCGTAAAGAAGCTTCAACCAAAAAAAGATTAAAACTTTAATCCGTGACCTCAAGAAAACCAGTCTCGATCGTTTCTATTAGAATCTTCATGTTGCTTACTCACTACTATTGTTACTTTGACAAGATCACTAAATCAATTTTGTTCCTCTTGTTGCAGGCCATTAAGAAGGACTCTCTTTCGGTGGCGCAGGTAATGTTCTGGCTTGACTAGGCATTCTTAGGAGTCAACTGACGATTGTCAAAATATGCCTCTCCTCCTAGATGTGTTTCATGTTTGCAATTCCTCTGGAACAATTTAAAAAAGGAGGAATCTTGTTCTAATAATCCTATTCAAAAAATTCTATGGATCGGAGCCCTAAGTTTTGGACCTCCAGAATTCATACCAAATCCCTATGGAATGGGCCTATTACTACAAGAAATTTGAAGAATTGCTAACATTAGTCTAATTTCTTGAAAAAAAATCCTTTACATCTTATCATCTTTCTCAGATCGCTTTGTTTTTCTGCTTCATGAAAACAGTTTCCATTTTTACATTCCATAGGATCTGATGAGGTGCTATGGGATTATAATCCTGCTGTCTGATTCCTATGCTTGGATAATCCTACTTTCAATTTGAAATGAACCTTAGCCCCTAAGAGATCGATTAGTGAACACATTATATTTGCGTAATAATTTAGTAAGCTTCAGTTAACTTCTTGAAAAACTTCCTTTACATCTTCTCTCTTTTTTCAGATTCCTGTGTTTGTGTGCTTCATGCAAACGTTTTTTTTTTCATTCATCCCATAGGATTTGAGGTGCTACATATGGTACTACAACCATCCTGGTTTTCCAATTAAAAAAAGAGAGAGAAAACATCCTGCTTTCCTATTCCTCTGCATGGATAATCCTACTTTCAATAAGGAGCCTTAGCCCCAAAGAGATTAGTGAATCTGTTATATTTGCTTAATAGTCTAGTAAGCATCAGTTAAGTGATTTACAGACTTCCTTATGTCATCTATACATCTGCAGCAACAAGACCTGTCCATGGTGATGGGCCTGTTCAACATAAAGCAGCACCACGCTCGTGCTCTTCTCATCCACTACCGGTGGAACACCGATTGCCTCGGTGACCACCTGGAGAGGAAAGGGCAAGAACGCATGCTCATGGAGGCAGGCGTCGTGCTACAGCAACAGGAGACGAGCAGCAGCAGCAGGCCTTCTTCACGAAGCAGGGTGCTCTGCGAGGTGTGTTTCGAGGACTTCTCCCCGCGCCACGTCTCCAGCATGGACTGCGGCCACTCCTTCTGCAACGACTGCTGGACGCAGCACTTCGTCGCCGCGCTCGACCTCGGCAAGAAACAGATCCCGTGCATGGCGTTCAAGTGCCCCGCCATCTGCGACGAGGCCATGGTGCAGCGCCTTCTGTCCCACAGGGACCCCGCGGCGGCCAAGCGGCTCCACGACTTCCTCCTCCAGTCGTACGTGGACGACAACAGCGCCGTGAAGTGGTGCCCCAGCGTCCCGCACTGTGGCAACGCGATCCGCGTGGACGCCGCCGACGAGGTGGAGCCGCTGTGCGAGGTGCGGTGCCCCTGCGGCGTCAGTTTCTGCTTCCGGTGCGCGGCGGCCGCGCACTCGCCGTGCCCGTGCGCCATGTGGGAGCGCTGGGAGGCCAAGAGCCACGGCGAGGCGGAGAACGTCAAGTGGCTGCTCGCCAACACCAAGAGCTGCCCCAAGTGCTTCAAGCCCATCGACAAGATCGACGGCTGCAACCTTATGACCTGCAAATGCGGCCAGCATTTCTGGTAATTATACTAACCTCTCTCTCATCGCTCACTATTACATTATGCTCCTTAATTGCATGGTCATTCATCTTAATTATGATGCGTATGCAGTTGGCTGTGCGGCGGCGCGACGGGGTTGGCTCACACATGGACTAGCATCAACAACCACAGCTGCAACCGCTTCGAGAAGGAGGAGAAGAGGAAGGTGGACGACGCCAGGCGGCAGGTGCGGCGCTACGAGCACTACTACCAGCGGTTCCACGCCCACGACTTCTCGTACAAGGCGGAGCGCAACAAGCTGGGGCCGGCCGTCGCCGACCGCGTGCTGAAGCTGGAGTGGAGCGGCGTCCTGACCAGGGACGCGGCGTGGTTGACCGACGCGCACCGGAGCCTGCTGCGGTGCCGCCAGGTGCTGGCGCGCTCCTACGTGTTTGCCTACTACATGTTCGACGCCGAGGCCACGCCGACGCGGCGGCGGGAGCCGGGGAGCCAGTCCATGGCGCAGAAGCAGGCGCTGTTCGAGGACTACCAGCAGCAGGTGGAGGGCAACGTGGAGCGGCTGTCCAAGCTGCTGGGCACAGACGTGCCTGAGCTGCCGGAGGCGGAGATCCTGCAGGCGAAGCAGGACGTCACCAACCTCGTCCGGGTCGTCGAGGCGCACTGCGGGAAGATGTACGGCTGCATCCAGGACGAGCTGCTGCCGATGCTCGTGGAGCCCATGTCCATCGCGGCGTACCAGCCGGGCGGCCCCAGCAAGGCCAACGAGTTGCCAGCTTGACTTTTTTTTTTAATAATTATTATTACTCCCTCCATTTCAAATTCCAAATTATAAGTTACTTTGACATACATCGAATTTGCTAGTAGATATAACAAATGTCTACATCTAACAAATTCGATGTATCCGAAAAATCAAAACAGACTTCTAATTTGGAACTGAGAGAATAATTGGACGATGAACTTGAACGGAGAGAGTATATTAATTTAATTTGGACGCTCAACTTGAGTCGCTGCTTCACCGGCTGGCCTTCTTCATTCTTTTTTTTTCGATCTAGAATTTCTAAAATGGCCCAAGGAGTGATTTGAACATAATATAAAAAAAAGGAGTGATTTGAACACTGTGCCAAAGTTGAAAACAAGTTGCTTATTACATATACCACCAAAATATGTTACCAGCAAGGATTCCCAGTTCAAAATTATATAGGAGTACGTTTGAATTCCATTGGAGTTGAAAAATGAGACTGCGCGAAAAAAAAGAGACAACGAGGTCGACGGGAGTTGGAACGCCTGAAACGACAAAAGTGAAGTAGGAGTACGTAGTACCTACGCTGTGATGCAATTCTAATTTAAATTAAAATAATTTTGATGAAAAAGTATCAACATACTTCCTCCGTTCTAAAAAGAATGTCATTATCACCTTTTGAGAGTCAATCCAACATCAAGTTTGCCAATATATATATATACAAAAATTACTAATAATAATGATACGTAATAAATATCATAAGATAATTTTTTTTCATAATAAACCTTTTTGGAGATACAAGTATTGACATGATTTTTCATAAACTTAGTAAAACTTCAAACTTAGTTGTCAAATACATTGTGAGGGATTCATGATCGGGGAGTTAGCTCATTTCCCTCTCAAGTTGAATGCGCTCATTTCACTCTTCCTTTTTTAGAAACTTCATTTCACTCCTTCTATTAAATTATTATTATTATTATTATTATTATTATTATTATTATTATTATTATTATTATTATTATTATTATTATTATTTCTAGAAGGCCAATGGGGCCAATTTTACGGCGAACGACGAGAAGCAATCGGTCAACCCCATTTGGGCTGGAGGCCCACTCGACTCCGAAAATCCACAGTGGGACCTGCGCGTAAAAAGGACCTGAACCCTCTCTTCTTCTCCATAGAAGCAATCGCATCGGATCGCTAGGGTTTAAGCCGCACAGCCTCCACAGCTCGAAAGTCTCGAAACCCTCGCCGCCGATCGGATTCGGAGAAGCGAAGCGAATCAAGATGTTCCTCGGCGCGCTCCCGCGGCTCCCGAGCAAGGAGGCTGCGTACAAGCAGCTGCGGTCGCACCTCGTCATCATGGCCTCCTGCGCCGCCGTCATCCGCGCCGCCCCGTACATCCTCCACTTCCTCACCCGCGATGGCGACATCCAGGAGCTCAAGCTCGAGCTCTAGGCCCGTCCGTTCCCATGCCTCCCCCACCTCCAAAGGTGAGCTCCCCGTCCGTCTCCTCCCCTCAATAGGATTCGTTGCCTTGCGTCCGTTTGACCCCTTTATCGCAACTGGCTTGTGGGGATTGATAGGTCTCTGTGATTGCGTGTAGTTCGCAGCGATTTTGTTTTGTGTTCACGATAGATGAACTGCGGTCGGTCTTAGCTCGTTCTTGTCGCATTTTAGGTTCTGATTGAACGATTTGTTGACTTGAACTTGGTTGGATTCACCATCCTTTGTTGGATAAATCACTGAGGCACTAGGCCATCGTAGTTTAAATTCTGCAATTCCAAGAAGAGTTGACGAGGTGAATTGGTGGATTAGGTGGGTTTCTTTGAGTTAGCGGTCTTGATTAGCCCTCTGTTGGTATGGTATTATTTAATGCTTATTACTCCTCTGCTTGAATTGTTAGGGGTCACAATGCAGTGTATTTATTTTCCTGCCAGGTAAGCATTTTGTTAATGTGGTAAAGTATTTATTGAAGAGAGAAGAGAAAATAGAGAAACTGTTTCTACATAAAGAAACGGAGTATTAATGCGCAATAAACAATCCATTCCGTGTTGGGCATGGTGGCATCGTTTATGTCAGCCTTAGATCCTGGCTCCCCGGACTTAGCTTCGCCAAAATCCATCCCCAATCGCTCTTCCCAAAGGTCCCATGATCCCAATTTCTGTGCAAGAATGAATCGAGCAGCAAATGATATAGCAGAGCAACTTTGAAAGATAATAGAAGCCTACTTTGGGTACCAGGTGAAACACTGGTGCTCTGGCTGCCGGTGCTCATCGCTGTTGGTCTAGCCGCCTATTCTTCTGCTACTAGTGGTCTGAATGGTATGATTCATATCGCATATGCATGCTTTGGCTAGGATGTGTTCTGTTCTGCACTTCTGCCAAGTTTGTGACTCTAGTCTAGATTAGCTTCCTGCTACTTGTTCGAACCAGTTACTGGAGAAACTGTTGTCCATTCAGTTTCTGAAGAAATAATTGACTCGCAATTGTTGTAACCCATTTTTTTATGGTATATTTACGTTCTGTTCTGTCTCTGTGCAAAATAAAATGCTTGTTCCCTAATGTTTTTTCATATGAACAAATATGAAATTCCTTTGCAGTGATTTTTTCATATCCACAAGGGTCAAGTCTAAACTTTTTTTTTAACTCGATAATGTGATAGCATGATGGCTAAACACTTGCTTGCCAGTTGCCAAGCAGACCAATCTCTGTCTCTCTTTGTAGTGCATGTATGAAGTTATTAAATTTGTCTATACATAGAAACTACTATGGAAACTACGTATTGCGAAGGTTAGGTCTAAAAGGAAATTTGTTTGGTTCTCTGTCCTCTAGAAACTACCCATGTAAACTATGTGTTGTGACTGCCCTTAGAGCTTCACAAATGCAAATACTAATTTGCATTGGGGGAAGAAAGTAAACAAGTAATGGATCTCGATTCTATGTTTGCAAAACAACCTGGACCATTGCTAGTGCATCCTGGTTGTATACTTGTGTATCAGTGGGAACTCGTTCTTGTTTGATCTGTTTTCTTTCATTCTTTCTTTTTCATATAAAAAAACTTATTGCATATCTTAAATTTGACCCTTTCATTGCCTTGAAACACAATTCATCATCCAGAGATTTAATCTTATGTAATTAAGTTCAAACATTAGGGACAGGTTTATTCTCCTGCTACCCATCTGGAATTCTGTGCCTTGGAATTCAAAGACCTAATCACAACTTTATGAGGACATGCAATTGAAGGACATAATGGACGATTACTTTTTTCAGAAAGTGCGAACTTATAATGACTTTTGATTGGTACTTTGAATTTTTTCACCGTTATGGCTGATTTCCATTCTCAGTCTTCGTCATTGTCTTGATGTATAATCATTTATAAGTAGGTGATTGATTGGTTGATGAGTACAATGATGTTTTTATGTGTTTGATTGATGTTTTATTTTGTGATATCCTGACCCTTGGAATTATTTTGTCACGTCTATATTGATTAATGCCTGCTAACTGTAGTCTGTGGTACTTGCTGAATTTGGTAATGCTATGTTATTTTGTTTTATGGACATGGTAAATTCTGAATTTTAATTTTGTTTGCAGCACATTTTGTTGGTGTGTCCTTCTAACCTGATTCTCTCATATGCATTTTTATTGTTTGGATCTGTTAATGGAAATTGTGTGATGCATATGTTGTGTTGATATTGTCATGGAAGTGTGATATATTCTCTATGCGATCGTTGTAATTGATATTTGATGTGGAACTCATGAGACTTAAGTCCCTGGTTTGAATATCATATTGAATATTTCTGTTTTTTGTCCATTTACTGCTCTAATTGGAAGGATCATTTGAGCATGTCGATGATTCATCGGTGAATTTTTAGCTATCATGCATTTGTGTTAATGGTGAATATCTAAATTTTTATATGGTACAAGATAAATTTGGCATTACTAGATTCATTATTATGAAAAATATATTCATAATATACAACTCTTTCTATGTAAGAAAAAAATATTTTAGTAGATACTGATAGTCAAAGTATCACATTGTAGACCTTGTTGATAATGGACTTGTATTTTTCATCAGATGAAGTATAACTCATACCTTGTTGCCTTGGCACTTAAACTTGCTGGCTTGTTCAAATATTCAGCCAACAGGCAACATTAACCTGTTTTCTGATTTCTGATTCAGCCTCCTTCCCTGCCCCTGGAATTGGCCTAGTTTTGCTCTTTTGTTATGTTTTTTTTTGTCATGGTTGGAATTGGCAGATAAACCAGGATCATGTTTAGTTGGGGCAGTTTTCTCTTGCTCTGTTTTTAGAATTAGAAATTGATACTAAAAGTTTAATATGGTTTCATTTAATAGTAAATGATGAATATGCTGTTGGTTTCTATAGTGTTTATTGCTACACAGTTGTAATAAATATATGTGGATCGTTTGTTTTTTCCCCTTTATTTAAAAGTTCTTTCTCGGGACTGCAGTACACCACTTACTGATATATTTCTTGTTTCTGCTAGGTTCTACAAAGGCAACCGTTAGTTTGAAACGACTGCAAGTTTGAAACGACTGCAAAAGTAATATGGAGTCAGTGACCCCAGATGCTGCTTAAGTTTCTTTGTTCTTCCAAATTTAGTGTCAATGGTGTAGTAACTGGCTTGTGCTGCGACTAGTATTGCGTTTTGCCTATCTGTATGGTCTAGACTTGTCTGCATTGGGGGATTTGCAGAGATGTTATCATTCAATCATGTTCTGAGCTCAGTTGCCATCGTGCCCTCGATCTGTGAATGCTTGGCCTGTGTATGACTCGTTTCAGCTTGACTTTGTCATGCGTCAAGCTATTCTTAGGCACCGCTTGATTATAGAAAAGGGATGAAGCAGGCAGTGCTCTGAGGTCATCGCTGGTATCTCAGTGAAGGATGCAGGAAACAATTGTCCTTTTAGGGGCCGTTTGGCACGGCTCTGGCTCCCGCCTGCAATTCCAGCTTCACCGGTGAAGCCAAAAATTTTGGCTCCCGGCTCCGTGAAACAGTATCCGAGCTACAGTGAGA